GGGGGAAATGAAGGGGGAGGGAAAGAGAGGACAAGTGTTGAAATCATTGGCAAAAACAAAATGTTCAAGTGGTTAAAGACGACCAAATTCCTGATCTGGGAACAAAAAGCCGCTCATCGCTAACTTTGTGTTTACATGACCTGGTGGAGCCAGGTGACGCCGAGAAACATTCATTCACAGATTAATCCACGAATCAAGTCTGGGCTTAATGTCTCACTATGAACCAAGCTTCTGCCACATCCAACATAAACCAGATCTGTCTGCATCCCAATGATCACACTGAGAAAGAAAACCCAACACTTACCCATTTGAAAACTAAAGAAAAAAAACTGCACCCAAAAACTACAAGTTCATACATCATTTACAAGTTTTTTTTTTTTTTACATTTTTCTGCATCTGCTCTGAATAAATAGAGTCTTTAATAGATCAAATATTATGTCTGCGAAAAATACTATCAAGTAAAACCTGTCAATTTAAAGGGAACAGCTGTGACTTCTGTGTTTAATAGCACAAATATTCTGATGCGAGAACATTTTGTTGAGTTTTGTTTTTATAATCACCAGTTTTAAAAAAAAAAGACACTCGTGTCAATAACTATTTTAGACAACTTAACGGCCAATTAGGATGTTTTCCCACCTTTAGAATAACTAGTTTCTGTATGTTAACTAGTTTTTATTTTACAAATTTCATAGCTAAAAAGAAAACTGACAAAAGCACTTCACTGCTCTCAATTTACATATTTTTAATCAAACTAACCTTTTAAACCTTTTTAAATGACTTTCAGAAAGAGTGCATCTGTGCAATTACAAAAAAATAATCAGGGAACTTAATTAGGGCATCTTAGAATATTGTCAGATTGAACATTTTTCTCAAACCCTGATTTTAGACCCATAATTCTGATAGAAAATCCAATACTGTTGCCTCCAAAAAGTTAAAAATAAAGCCAAAAAAATAAATAAAATAAACCCAGACATACAACACAACAGAAAAGAAGTGAAGCGTCATCTCTGTCGAGCAATCATCCATCTCTCTCCAGAAGTCTCTTTCTTACCAGACCGCAGTGGACGCAGCATACAAACCAGTCGGTTCTCCTCCTCGATGAAGATGGAGGTTTTCTCTCCTGTGCAGCTTTTTTTGAGTAACAACTGCTGGGGTCTCAAAGGACAGAGGAGGAAGGACTCCAGGTGCCAGCGGGAACCTCCACCTGAGGCTGACCGAAGCAGAAACCGACTCTGCCACTTTCAGAACACGGAGAATCTTGATGAAGAGCTTTTTTTAAAAACACAGTCCATCTCCACCACGTTGTGTCTTCTAGTGCCAAAGAGCCATTTGAGTGAAAGAATACTGCTACATCAGGAACAAGACTTTAGGCATCAGTCCATTTCTTTTTGAGGAAAACCGGAAGCAGCAGGACATACAAACCACCATCTCTTCTTTCAGACAGACTTCTGGTATCTTCTCACAGTCTTTAAAGGAGGGGAGAAGTTGTGTTGAGGAAATTCTGCAAACTTAACGAGGAGCCGTTCGACATTCCTTTTGACTGATAAGACTTGAATCTTCAGGCTGCTGACTTGGAGGAGGAAAAAAACATAACAACACTGTTAGCGCTAACATCTGTTTTTTTGTGGGGGAAGGGGAAGGGAAGCTCCCTGATCTGGTTCTAACTCAGAGCTGAGAGATCACCTTGAAGCTGAACTACTCCTGTTCTTTGTAGACATCAGAGGTTCAGTGAGATAGATCAACTTGGAATAGAATGAAATGTGTGCAGATGGTCTTCTACATCTTTAAATCTAATATTTTTGTATAAAATTACATTTAAAGGTCTGACAACAGAATAAATATATAAATGAATCTATGTGGGTCATTTGGGTGCTGCCTATCTGGACTGTGAGGTGTCTGAAGTGCAGTGCATTGAAAGTATAAGGATCTAAGATTTTCCCTTCATTAAGCTACGCCCACTTATCCCACTCAAGAAGCAGCCAAAGAGGCTGTGCTGGTTTTGCAGTCTATCTTTTCTGGGTCTGAAGGGGTGAAAGTGACACCTAGACCAGTTAAAAAGGTCATACAGGAGTCCAAACATGGGAAACCCAGAGTGTTCTGCACACACTGCACTGGCAGATCAGGCCTGAATCTGTAGAGCAGGAAACAGAAAAATGAAGGTTAGTGTGAAAAAATTCAAATTAAAATAAAAATGTTTGAGGAGTACAGCTTACGTTTTGACTATAGCCCGAAGAGCCACCTTCCTTTCTCTGTCTACAAACTTGTCAATGAGATATGAAGCCATGCGGGGGGCTTCCTGGTACAGCTTAAAGAAACGGTGATAGTTCCCTAAAGCCCAGGCAGCACGGAGCGACAGGGCATGAGCCACACACTCATCTTCCCGCAGCGCCGGGGTCAAATAGACCAACTCAGTGGTCAGATCTGGAAACAAAAATGGCCAACGTGAAAGAACTGAATATGCAGTTTATACAGTGATGAAAAAGATTTTTACTTACCTCCAGAGTTTTTAGTAAAAATGTAGTACAGCAATCTATATGCTGTGAACTCTCCGATGTTCTCTGAGGGGTTGTCCTTGTACAGAGCCTTCAGCTGCGTCTGGCACTGGTTGAACTCCTCGTGGTCGCCCTAAAAAAAAAAAAAAAAAACTATAGAATTTAAAAAAAAATCCTATTTTCTACAGCTTTAACAAACACCAAATGACAAAAAAAATCTCACCTTTTCCAGGGCAATGCGAGCATGACACTCGTACACTTCCACTGTGAAGTCAGTACGAACTCCTTGGACCTAAATAAAAATAAACAAAATCAATAAAAAACTAACCCACACCACTGAAAACACAACAGATAAATTAACAAAACCTAAAAGCAACCGACCGTCAGGTCCTGTCGTATGGACTTCATCTGCTCACAGGCATAGGCGTAGTCCTGGTGGGTTTTCCAGTGGGCCTTTACACTCTGTAGAGATTTTCTGAGCACCTGAGAGAACACAAGGAAATAAACAAATGCAGAATCTTAGTATTGAGTTTTATTGCGCTCCAGATGTGTCCTCGCGTACAACATACTGCAAGACCAAAATAAATAAATAAATAAAACAAAAAAATAAAAATAAAAAATCACCACAAAAGGCCTGAAATTTCTGAAACACTACAAAGATTAATTTGTTTCAGATGGGAACAAATTACTGAACCCAAACACGATGTCAGTGAGAAGTTTCTTATTAAAGAAACATCATGTGGTCATGAAAAATATGTTACTCTGTTTCTGAAAGATTTATTTATTTTTCTACATGAAGCAAACAAGACAACAGCTAAAAGTCTACAATTTTGGTTAAAAATCTTCAGACACATTAATAAAACCCAGTGGGATTTCATTCTCAGAGGGAAAAAAATGTGTTTAAAAAAAAAAAACAAAAAACCCTCCAATAATTACGACGGGATTTTTCAAACTTTCTGTGAAATCTAAAAACCAAGTACAACCCACAGCAATGGTTAACTTTTAATGTGATTGTTTTCATGTGTAGTCCGTGAAAAAAAACTGTGTTGCTTCAACAAAAGACTTTCTTTGTGAGATTAATCAGAAGAAAGAGCTTAACAAAAATACCAAAAATAATGATATACAATATTACTGACCTGAACGGGGCGAACAGTACAAGGGTCAGGGGCACAGGTGAGTCTTAAATAGGACTTTGTGATGTCCTGACAGGATCCCACAATAGGGCAGTCCTCCCAGCTGAGGCCCTCTTGGGTTCCGTCAGGTAGGTCCAGAGTGCTGACGGACAGAACCAGCGGCTCGGAGCGAAGCTGTTTGTGGAATCGAGCTGCTCTGCTTTGCTTTTTAGCTTCCCTGTTGGGGTCATGGAAATCCATCCCGGCGCTGCCCCCTTTCCTCTTCTTTCCAACAGTTGCATTTGAGTCGTCCATGTTTCTGAGAGATACATTTAAAAGTTTTATAAACGCACAGAACAGTACAAGAATATAAATGTCTCCAACTCATTACCAACAAATGATAATTTAAATGTATTATAATTTACCGTCTTCCTCTGTTGGCTTTGCCTCCTCTACCTCGTCCTCTCTCTCCACCTCCACGTGCTCTGTCCCTATCATTTCCTCGACCACGTCCTCCTTTCTGACCTCGTCTTGACAGCTGAGGCTGCAGGTCGCTGGAAATGCTGCTGTCCGACTGTGAGCCAGAATCACTGCGTGTAGAAACAACAAACATTTAGACACAAGTCCACAAGACACCAAATGCAATCAAGGATGAGGAGGAGGAGAAGTATCTTACCTGCACCTGTGCCTTTGGTTGCTGCGGTCTCTGTGTCGGCCGTGTGATGGTGACGGTGAGCGGGACGAGGACTGTGATGAACTAGAAGATGGACTTCTTTGAGAGAAAACATTCCTGTAGTTGCCCTGTCTGTGCCCAATACCCCTGCCTCTTGAAGCAGCAGCTATTGTACTCCCACCACGACTAAATGAATTATCGGATGTTCTCTGGGGAGGAACAGCTTCCCAACGAGACTGCTTCATCTTTAATCTGCAGAAAAACAAAGATCCAGAACATCTAACCAAACTATATACACAACTCCAAATATGAATACATTTTCCAGCAGTTTAAACTGACTTTAAACAGAAGCAACATTCTGAAACATGACTAAACTCACTCTGGTAATGGCTCACGGGTCCAATCAATAGTGTAGGCAGAGCCATCCTTCAACCTCTCCTGCAGAACCTCCTTCAGCACCTTCTCTGTACGATCCTTGTCCTCCTCCGTCTCACAAGCTGTAAAACAGCGCTGCACATATTCCTTCATGGCTTGGGGCCAGTCCTGGGGCCTGGACAAAAAACATTTACACTCAATATGTTTAAACGCATACTGGGGACAAGAGAGTGAAGAAAACAAAAGCATACAATAAAGTAACTCTCACCGTGTCTGAGCACCTCCAGAAGCAGCACTGACAGTAGCTGGAGAGGAAGGAGTCTGATTCAGCCCTGAAGGCTGCTCGCCTGGTTGGAAAGCCTGGTTGGAAACTGGGGGACACTGAACCTGATAGGGCCTCTTGGGAATATTAAACTTCACAGGAGCTGTCCCCGGTGCCTCTATAGAGCAGAAGACAAAGAATAGATTTACTCCTTTGCTTTCTTTTTCCCATACATACAGCGGAAATGAATCCAAATACCCAAACAGAAACAACAATTAAACACGTGGAAGAATGATCGAAGACAAACATAAAAAATTTAAATAAAGCTCTTTTCTAACTTCTTACGTTTCATGCGGTGCCAAAGCTGCTGCCCTTGTTTCTGGTTTTTGTTGGCCTCCCCCCTGCCCAGCCCTGGTACGTACTGATGCTGCAGCTGCTGCTGGGAGTTATTCTGGTTGGGCTGATAGTTGTTCTGGGTTTGGAAATTCTGGTTGTAGTTTGGCCGCCCCTGGGAATGATTGTAGGCTTGCATTTGGTTGGGGTCAGTGGTTTGGTACGTCATGGTGGTGTTGGCACTATAAGCATTTTGAGAAACAGGGGGAGGATACTGGGAATTGGGTGATTGAGGAATAGGTGGGGGCGGGGGAGGAGGGGGTTTCTCCGCAGTGGTCGGGCTGTGGGGTGGCTGTGGGGTAGCAGGTGGGGGAGGCTGTGGTTGGGAAGGGTAGTTGGGTGTCTGATCTTCCATTCCAGGCACCGGGGGAGGCTTTGAGAAACACAAGATTTAAAGTTTGACATGAACATCAGCTGTGAGTTTGTCTTTTTCAGTAAATTATATTTAAATCCTGATGCTCTGTACCTGGCTGGAGGTGGGAGTGCTTTGGTATGGCCCAGGAGGCACACCGTACTGATTTGGTGGATACGCAGATCCGTACTGGAAAGCAGGTCAAAATGTGGTTGTAAATTTGTTTGTTTACAGTTTTAATGTATTATTTTCACTCAAGTGTAACTAACTATAGCTTCAGGATCAGCAGTGTGACATGTGCAGACATCTGATATTTTCAGGTCAAACAAAAACTCATTGCAGTGTGCATATTGTTAACCTGGTTGGTTCTCAATACCATGGCAAATTTAATCTCAATTTACTCAAATTAGATGCTTTTGGAAACAAAAACGGTCAGCGATGAGAAGGACATATTCTCATGCTGTGCTCATTAGTCTCATCTACACTGATTACTATCCAGAGTTTCCACATCTCTGCTGCCTCTATTTCTTGTTAGAATGCCAAGTGTAAACCACCAGTTTTTAACAATCGTCTGCTCAGAAATCCCAACACTGCTGACAGAGGTGATTATCACACTTTACAGAAATAATGGGGTGAAGTTCAGAGGGCCTTCTGCTCTGGTGCACTGAAACTAACTGTAGTTGGACATTTATGTAAAAAAGATTTGCATTGATTTGTGGCTATTTTAATCCAAGTGTGCCCCACTACAAAAATCATAATTTTTACCTAAATTATTTGATGAGAAAAAAACACAATCAAGTAGGGTAAAATGCTGAATGCAAAATTGTGTGGATAAAATTAACCATAAGCATAATTCTGTTCTGTACTCACAGGTCCCATAGGGTAGTAGTAGTTGTATTGATATGCGTAACCAGGATAATGCTGCTGAGTTTGCTGGTACCATGGATAGTACTGCTGCTGAACAGCTGCAGAGTCGGTTGCCGTTGGCTGAAACTGACCGGCCTGAAATTACAGATAAGCAGAAATAGTCTTGGTACCACATAATAAAAGCAAAGTCATTTAATACCAGAACAATACAAATAAAACTAAACTTTTTCACAAATGCATGAACTATCACTTATCTGGCAAACTATATAAACTACATTCTTAGTCATTTACCAATAGGCAGATTTGAAGCGGATACTTATTAAAATCTTAGGTTGTCACTTCACACATTCTCAATAAACCAACAAAACCTGAATTCATCGATTTTATTTGGTCATCTGTCTACAAAATGTTCATTTTTCACCCCAAAACATAAATAGTATGATTTGCTTCAATCAAAACAAGCAATTCTGTTTTTTTTTTTGTAAGAAAACCATTAGTTCTGCGTTATAACTCAACATATCCAGAGATCACTGTCCTCTTTCAGTCACCAGGATAGTCCATCCATCCATCCATTTTCTGTACACGCTTCTTCCTTTTCAGGGTCGCGTGGGTCACTGGTGCCCATATCCAGCAGTCACAGTGTGAGGGGCGGGGTACACCCTGGACAGGTCGCAAGTCCATCACAGGGCCACACATAGAGACAAACGATACAAACAACCATTCACTCTCTCACTCACACCTAGGGACAATTTAGAGTTATCAATTAACCTAACAGCCATGTTTTTGGTCTGTGGGAGGAAGCCGGAGTACCCGGAGAGAACCCACGCATGCACGGAGAGAACATGCAAACTCTACCCAGAAAGGTCCCCGGACCGGGATTTGAACCGGTGACCTTCTTGCTGAGAGGCATCAGCTCTACCAACTGAGCCACCGTGCCGCCTCACCAGGATAGATATGATGTAATAAATTATACTCAACATCTACATAAAGCAGTTTGAAATGGACTCTAAATCACTGCTGGGGTTTTAAAAAAAAGAGAGATGAAATGCAAACCTCTGCTGTGGCCATGTTTTCTTGCGTGTTCTTTGAAGAGGTTTGATTCTTATTGATGCTAGCAAGCGCCTGCCTTGCTTTCTCCCATTCTGGATTTTCATGAACATGGCCATCCCCAGTAGAACCATAAGGCCTGACATAAAAAGAAAAAAAAACATGTCAGGCGTGATTTTGAAATGACCTTGCTGATTAGAAAACTATTTAACAAAACAAAGATTAGTCTTCAAGTCACCCTTCACCAATAAGTTAAATGCGTCACAACAAGACTACAATAATTAGAAATGAACATTTGCCTGCCTTCAAATACGTTTTACTGTTTGATGATTCACTAGTGATGTTATTTAATCTACTTCTGCAATACAAACTAAGGTTAAAAAAATGTAATTTGCTAAATAATTGTTGCTTGAAAGTGAAATTGTAGGTAATGTTGTGAGTTTATCTTCATCTTTAAACTTTTAAACTATAAGGGTCTGAACAAAACCATAGCGGTTTGTAACTTAAGTGTAAACAGTAAATTTCTTGTTTCATCTCCTTCATTTTAAACTGCTTGGTTTGTTAAACCTTTACACTTAGGCTCATTCTTAATTACATTAACATTTTTTCCAAAAAGATTTAACCATCTGTACTCCTTAAATTAATTAATGGAGAAAAAAATTACCTATGCCCGTAGAAAAATTAGTAGAAAATGTTCTGAACGTAACAACTGTGCACACCGAAGCTAACATCAAACACTGTTTGCTATAACTGTTGTGTCTCAATATAATCTACATCAAAGTTTTCCATACAAACATGCTCTGGTTAATGGAGCTCTATGCCTTAATATTTTATTATTATTATTATTATAACTCATTAGCCAACATGTTAGCCTCCCCTTCCATAAGCCAAACCAACGGCCAGTTGCTAACCTTAATGTTATTCTCATTAGCATCCACTGAGCTAATGTCCTTCCTGCTACTTTTAAAATAAACAAAAACTACAATTGACATAATGATGAGATATATTGACAATATCATGGCATCCACATAAAAAACAACATACCATTTTTTCTGTACTTAGAGTGTGACCTACCAGTTCGTTGTAGGGGTTGCTTGTGCCGTGTTGGCCGCCATTTCACTTCAGATTCAGGCTAAAGTAGGAATGCTAAAAGGCCCAGGCTAGTTGAGAGCTAACAGGCCTGTTAGCCCCTCTACCGTGAAAGGTAAGTCCAACCCGGAGTCAATCTGTGTGTTTTACGAACAGAAAAGTCAATCAACCGAGAATAACTCTACCTAAACAACGACAATAAACGTTATTACATATCAATACAAGTCAAATTTCAAAAATAAAACAGTGAACATTGCTATATTTCCTTCTTCTTCGATCAGGTCGAGCTCTAACCTATCGAACTACCAGAATTACAAAATGGCAGACAGGTGACGTAAGGCTGACTGGGCTGGCAAAGTTATATGTCTGCTTTAACCCCGGGTAAGACTTGCAGGCAGAGCTAACTCACGAGTTCTTCCCTCCACCAACAGCAAACAAATATAAAACAATTTAAACTTCTTATTGACTTCTGTAGCTTCATTGTTTCTATTAGTCTGCCTATTGGGAAAGGGAATATAAGGAATAGAGCGGTGTTGTGGTGCCTTAAAGAATAAACTCAGGGTAAACATAAACAACACACCGCGTTATCGCACAGGAAACGAGATCAAATATATCAGCAATAAATATTGAGTTTGTTGACGAGCTGATCCCTGAGCAGTAAAATGTAAAAGCCATATTGATTTTTTTATTTATTTAAAATAAATTATTTATAAGCATAACTTATTGCCTGTTTTTCAAAAGTGCAAATGTACTTTTCAGTGTGCAGAATAGTTTACAGTAGTTTTTTTTTTTTTTTTTTTTTTTTTTTTTTTTTTTTTAGATTTCAGCTCTGGTTAAAAATATAAAACGCTAAATTTAATTTGCATTTTTTAAATTATCATTTTTTGTCGAACGTGTGCTCTAACACAGCTTTGTGACATTTTTATTCCACCATTTTAAGATCATTTTAATTTGCTCCTGAATTACTTTTAGTGTAAAACAAAACAGAAATATAAAACCTTTGTTATTTAAAACTCTGTTGTTTGCCTTCCTAGTTGTGCTTGAGTAATTGAGTCACAAGTTTGGGTGTAGCTGAATTTTCAGTATATTTATCTTGTTGAATGACAAGTTTCTTTGTAGCTAGTTGAGTCCATTCAGTCTTGTTAGGTGTTTATAAACTTTTTGTCTCTTTGTGGGTCTTGGACAGACTGAGAATGAATGTGAACAGACACCTCAAAAAGAGCTTTAGACCAGGGGCCCCTAATTAATTTGAACTTGAAGTTGATTGGTTGGTTCAGTAATCCTTTCATGTAAATCATGCACAGGCCCTGAAAGAGAGGATCTTCCTTCCTCTGAGAATTTCAACACTCATCACAGTGAGTTTTTGTGAACACTGGACAATTTATTAAATGACAAGGAATTTAATTTCAATATTTACAACAAGGGAAGATCTACTACATGAAATTTGTACTTGTCACAAGCAACAAACACAAAGCCTGCATTATTTAAAAAGTATCCCAGAAAAAAAAAAACTTAAAATCTTGTCATCTTCCATTTGATTTAAACGTTTTTTTAGAACACATTTATCTCACTTGCCAGGATGTTGAGCTGCCTGATTTATGCTTATATTCTGGTGCGTTCATTGCTAAATTACATTGTTGGCAGAAAACTTGTTTACATGCATTGAAGGAACTGACTGATCTATCCAAAGTCCAACTAATGTCTAACCCTGTATCTCAGACAAGTTCAAAATGCAGGCACTCACCCTGCAGAACAGAAAAAAATGAGAACAAGGAAGAGAAAATTTAGATTTTTTTAAATTATAGTTGCCTCATGGGAAAGAGCCAAAAGTGAGACTGTAAAACAGATAAAGATGCAACATAAAGTTGGATTGCAGTATATTTATTTATCAAGTCAGAATGTTTTCACTTTAACTTTTCTGATAAGACGTACAGGACATATGTCAAATTCAAGGTCTGCAGGCCAAATGTGGCCATCAATGGCATTTTATGTGGCCCATGAGAGCTTAAAAATGTGTTAATGTTTTAAAATAAGTGTATGCTGTTTTAAAGCCAGCACTGACCAAACATTACATCACCCATAATGCATTTTCACAATTTTATCAACAAAATTATGGCATTCCAGTAGGTGGAGGCACACAGGGTCAAAATAGCATGTGAAATTTCACTGCATTTCATATTTGCTGTGGCCCATTTGTACTGGTAAGTACACACATACATCCTACATAGAAGTGGTAAATTTGAACTGGAATGCCCCCTTTAATGGGAATTCCCTGTCGAAGAGTTATCACCAGAGATCAACAGTGAGTAAAGCCATCCAAAAGTGAATCAATTTAATATAAATCCTGTAGTATTTATTTCACATTTGTTCAGTCGTACACGTAGTGCCTTTCAGTGCTTAAAAGAAGACATGTTAAAACACTGTTTCCATGCAGGAAATACCACGTAGAGCTCAGTTATTGTTTGTTTGTTAGTGGTGCTAAGCTGTAATGAGATGAGGAACATGATGTTTCATGTTTAGTCAAAGTTAAACACAAAATTAAAAAAATTTAAAAATACAGCTTACTCTTTCAGTGTCACAATAATGCTCAAGTGGACGTCAAGTGAGTATATATTTTTTAAATTAGATCATGTCAGGCATACCTCAAGGATCAGACCCGGGACGCACCCTCTTTCTCCTGCACGTAGGATTAATAGTCAGTTTCCAGAAATTGCATCATTTGTCACCCTTAATAAAAAGCTGAACCAAAATTAAGCAGTGGCCTTTTAACAACTTCTTTTAGTAGCAGTCTAACTCAAAGCTGAATTTTTTTAAAGCTAAAAGTGAAAGCTCAGCTGAATTTTTGATGCTAATATCAGTTAGCGACTGCTAGCTAGCTAACCCATGTTGTAATTTTCTGACAATGCAGATATTGTTCTTTTTAAATCAGCTCTTTGGTTGCTTTAAGTTAATAAATTATTAAGTTTAACCCACTTTTGGGTAGAAAACTCAATGCTGGATTGAGTTAAAACTCAATTAACTCGGTCCAAATTTGACCCAGAGCTTGAGGTTGTAGTGTGCATTTATGGAGTCCCTTGCAGTCAAAGTCCAGCTCACATCTGATTTTTTAAAAACTCCAGACCCCTTCTTGCAGTCTGAGCTCCAATGGACAAAGCCTGTTGGTGGAGCAACAGGCTGAGAAACAGGGTGGATTATCCTCTTCAGGTTTGGATAAAGTTTACTTATTTTTACATGGCTCTCAGAGTGCTGACAGGCAGAAACTGCACAAAGCTTTTTCAGCTCATCTGCAACACATCATAACAAGAGTTCTCATCTCAACAATCTTTTATAATAATAACTGCATCATCTCTGAACAGAAAAGAGGAGATGATTATGTATTTTCTGGGCAGGGGTCAGTGGATGATCTCATCTGTCAAACAATAGAAGTTAGAGTACAGTTTGTTCAGGAGTTCATCTCAGGGCCAAAGATGGTGGATGCATTTGTTGTTAAAGTCAATTCAGGGTTCGTTACAGCTAAAGCACGTTCTTGGTCTCTGGGAGGAAGTGTCAGAAACCCATACAGACACAGGAAGAACCAGAGACCTTTTTATTGTGATGCAACAGTGCTGACCCGTACACCACCCTGCAGCTCACTGCTGCACCGTGTCTCTGAAAATATTTAGGACTGCGTGGGCCACTTCAACTTCACTTCATTCAGCTTGTACTCCTCATTGTTTTCAAGATCCACAGTTCTTCAACAGATCCACTTTTCCTCTGGGCTTTCCTGTGAAGGGTACAGCTGCAGGATGTGTGCTTGCAACTGTGTGTGTGTCCCAAAGAGGGGAGTCATTTCCTGTCAGAGTCTCTCCCACACAAATCCCCCAAAACCTTAAAGTCAACAGAGATTTACAGCTGTTGCTGAATTAACGCTTGGCAAATTTGTTTTTAAAAGCAGCATAAAGCAGGGTTAAACTATGTTTTCTTATGTTTACTTATCAAATAGCTTTTTTTTATTTTACAAAAAAAGCTTTTGGCTGCATCATCACACAAATATGCAGAGTATTTGTTACAAGACCTGAAACGATGACTCAACACTCAACACTATTGTCTGAATACCTAGGATTTTTTTCTTTTCAAGGAAGGAAGCTGCTTATATGGACTCATAAAAAACATCCAAATGTCGCTCTAAATTCATCGTTTTCTTTAAGATTTTTTCAAGAGAGTCCTTGAGTAACTCTGGGTAAACAGCTGGATAACTATGTGAAGTAACTGTGTGGCAGCCACCCTTTTAAAATACGATGTTGCGAACTAGGTGGAGCCTTTTTAAAGGGTTTGATTTCATTCACTGCATTCCACAAACGTCAACATAATTGCAGTCTATTTAAGCATAAACCCTTGGTAATAGTTCACGTTGTAATTAAATGTGTTTGCTGCGCTCGTGTTGCCCAATCGCAGTCTGTAAAAATGGGAGTAGAGCTCAGACTCACTGAGTGAGTTCATTGCCAGAAATATCAGGACTTTTGCAATCTTTGAGATGATTGGATGTAAGTAACACACACTGACACACATCACAGGCTGATTCTGATCACTTTTACCCTCACACAAAAGAGGCAAATTCTGATTTTCTCTTTAGTCATAAAACATTAGCCTAAGAATTAGTAGTGTTTGATTATTTTTCTTCATAAAGCAGTATATTATAATTAAATATAGAAAACAAGTGATTAGCATTTGTTTACTTTCTGAATATTGTCATTTAAATGCCATGTTTTTAAAGTTTATTGTTTACTACGTGGTGAAAAAAAAAACAGAAAGGAGCCTTGTTTCAAATTACAACTCAAGACATAGTAAACAGGCAGGCTAGTGGTTTTCTAAAGTTGCTCATGTAACTGGTTCCCTGTGTGAATGTCCAGGAAGTAAACTCTCATCACAAGCTGTCACCAAGAAGATGTGATGCCAGATTTTACAAACACAAAGCTGAGCTGTCAGTGTCTGATGGAATCTGTCCTGAACATTGCTGAGCAACATTTACCAGAAAAACACATACAGGCTCATGTTAGAAGAGTTAAAAAACAAAAAGAAATATTTCTTATTGTCATATTTGTTCCTTTTAACTAGCAATTTTTTGTTGTGTTTTTGTACTTTTAGTTAGCATTTTGCTACTTTCAAGGTAAGACTTAATTCATAGCTTTTAGCTAGTGTTTTACTACATTTTGCTTTTAATTAGCATTTTGTTACATTTAGTTTTACAACATTTAGCTAGCCTTATTCTACTTTTAACTAGTGTTTTGCTTGTTTTTGCTTTCAGCTGGAATCATGCTACTTGTACTCAGCAAAGAATACACTTTCCTTTGAAAGTTTGGCTACTTTTAGCTTGTGCTTTTCTACTTTTGCTTTTGTACATGTCTGATTTATGCTGTCACTTAACTAACATTTTGGTATATTGTAAAGTTTCTTTTGGCTTTTAGCTAGTGTTTAACAATATTTTGCTAATGATTTGCTACTTTTACCTTGTGTTTTGAACTTTTAGGTTCAAATACCCAATTTAGCTGGAAATAAGACATCACTTTTGACAGTGTTTTGCTGCTTAGCTAACATTTTTGCTAGTTTAGCTGTTTTCTTTTTTGTTGTTTATTTTAGCTAGTTATGTTTTGCTACTTTTGTCTTGTATTTTCCTTCTTTTATTCACTTTTAGGTGTGCTACCTTTTGGTTTTCGCTAGTCTTTTGCTACATTTAGGTTTTAGCTAAAATAAAATGTTAGAAAAAAAGGCAGATTAAACAGCATTGCCTACTTGTAGTGTTTTTAGATATGACTCTTCTCATCAGTGGTGATTAGATAAAAATTCTGTTTCGTTTGTTTTATTTTTAATAATCAGATTAATATAAGGAACAAAAACTTCTTATCAACGTGTTTTTAGTTTAGAAAAAAATGGAAGGGCTTGTGATTTTCAGGAGCATTTGTCAGCTCTGATCCTGTTTTATTACTTTCTGAGCTCTCATGGCGTCACTTCCTCAGTCCTGCAGCCCATCCCTTTGGAGAGGAAAGAAAAAAAAATCACAGGCAGCAAACGACGGCGAGAGAAAACAGCGAGGGAAACGTGCAGAAAGAGGTGAAAGCGAGCAGACAAATGGAAAAAGCTGAAAACTGAAGCGGGAAGCAGGGAAATACAGAATCAAACTCTTTAAAGTAAGTTTTTATAACTTTAAATGTTTTGGTTTTAGTCGATAAACTGACTTTCTGTACTGATCTCGGTGCTTCAACAGCTTTATAACTCTTGTTAGCAGCAGTTAAACGTATTAAAATGTGTTGTTTTTTTTTTTGTTATAAAAAGTAATGTGGAGTTTTTGAGGGCTGGGCCTGTTCGTCCCCCTGCCCTCACTCATGGTTTCTCTGGTTTCTTCATGGACTCTGACCCCCCTCTTCAATATTAAATATAAAAAAAGACACAATCTAACACACTGATTAAACAATGAGCTCGCTGCAGTAATTACCAGTTAATACGTGTTTTTATTGGCCTGTTTGTAATTGTTTATTTTTTTAAATGGTAGATACTGTATTTTTAAAGAAGGTTACAGTCTTGTTTTTGTCTTCAGACTCCCTGAGGGCAGAGAAAAGTATGTGCTAACGCTGCACACTCTGTGCTTCAAGTACAAGTCTCAGCATGGCCTTCACAGAGGGACCAGAGCCAAAATCCTCACCGCTTTCCCAGACTATTACACAACATGTAGAGTTTTCACTTTGCCCTGTCTTATCAAGAGGTTTCACCAAGGTTTCGGTGTTCTGCTTCATCTAATCTGTCTCACCATTTCATTTTCTGTTTTTATTTCCCTCCTTAACAGCAGTTTCCTCACAACGATGCCGCTCCACAAATCATCATCCAAAGCCCATCGCCTGGACCCTACCATGATTTCGGCCCCTCTGGGTGACTTCCGTCACACCATGCACATTGGGAGGGGAGGAGATGCCTTTGGCGACACCTCCTTCCTGTCCACCGTTGGCCCAAGCCCGACCACGTCCGAGCTGAGCAGTTCTGGGATCAGCCCTGTCGCGGAACCTGGGGTGTCGGTCAACAATGGCAGTCTTCGTTCAGCGTCTTTTTCTGGAGGGAGTCAGCTTAAGCACTCTGATTCAGAGTCTGATTCATTCACCCTGGACCTAGACCTGGACCTAGACTTGGACCTGGGCCCGTCGATGCTTGGGGACGTATTAGGGGTGATGGATGGCGTGGCGCCTGACTCAAATGTGGACAACGTGTTCAGCCCCCTACGTGAGATCCCTGCAGCGGAGACAAAGCAGGTCAGGAGGGGGATGGAGATGTCTGTGAACGAGCTGAACGAGAACCAGGCAGAGGACATCAGGACGCCGGACGAGAACGGGTTCAAACCCAGGGCTCCGCGACCAAAAGTGAGGTTCAGCGACAAGCGAGAGGAGATCATCCGCCAGGCGTCCGAGGAGGAAGAGGGCCAGACCTTTGACTTCCAGAGCAACAATCAGGTGGCGTGTCACAGTCCGGTGAGGGGCGAGAGCGACAGGAGGAAAGGTGAACCCGAGCTCACCAATCACAGAGCGGATCTGCCTCCCAGTCCGGCCTCATCACACAGCTCAGAGTATGAAGGAGTCGCTCCGTTGGACAGGAGGAGGTCTGAGAGCTCAGAGACTGATTCAGAAGAGGAAGAGGAGGGAACAGGACGAGGCTACACGTTTGAAGATGAGTTTGATGACGATGATGAAATTGTTGTATAAACATTGATCTCTCACAAACAAACAAACACATCTTGCTGTAAAGTATATTGTATTTTTATTATCTGAAACCAAACAGGGATTTTAAAAAACAGCAATGATCCAGAGACAGAGACAGTTCAGATCTTTGGATTCTGTGGAAAGGTGATGAACAATCAGTATCTTACCTGTTGTAACAAGTTGAATATCCTCAGTTTGGAAAAACAAGTTAATTTCCATCAGACTGACAAACTAATGGCTAGTCTGATTTGATAGCTGCTGCCGTCTTAAAGCTACAATACAGTACATGCAAAGTTACAGTTCTGAAATGCTGGTACACACTCAATGTAGACGAAACAGAATTCACCAAAAACCTCATGGAAGGTTGAGTTGAGTACATGTACTACATTCGACTCCATTTGGGTAAACAAAAATGGCAAAACTGAATAAGAGTAGAATCTTCAAGAATCTTGGAATCTGCTGGTAAAATCACAAAAGGAGAAATAATGAATAAAACAGCTGTGAAGAATACTTGTAAATAAAATTAGTCCTAACGTTGATCCAAATCCTACTTTATTTTACACAGCCATTCATTGTACATTACAGAGTTATACTGGCAGAAATATTAGCAGCTAGCATCAAAAGCTATCTGCTAGCTGTTGCTGTTAACGATTATATGACCCTAGAAGTAAATGTGTATTCTGAGTTTTTGGTGATACAAAGTTTATAAAGCAGCATTTGCCTGAAGCGCTATGAGAGTGTTAAGATTAGAATTGTTTTAAGACGTCAGAAATTCACTTTGCTCTTGGCTTTCTTCTGATTCACTGGATTAGCTTTCTGTTTTGTTTACTTCAGAAGTCAAATTCGGAGATGACATTAGCATGTTCCAGGTGCAAGTCGGAAAACCATTAGAATTTGTCAGTAGGTTGTGCTCAGTGACCTTTAACTTTAGCTGTTAGAACCAAAAACAATGGATTTCTCTGCATTCTGTGCATTGAGGCGCTGCAGCAACTGCATCACTGATGGGGGTTAAACACTATGGGTGTGTCTGGTTTGCTGAGACTTACAAAAGTGGGAAAAAAAGCAACATTATTAAATTGTTATTTGCAGTCAGCCATATTGGGATTTTGAGGTCAGGGCTGATCAGGCATGTCAGACTTCTCAAGGTGGAATTTCACCTTTTTGGGGGGCGTAACATTTGATTTTAACTCATAACTCAGAAGATCCTAATTTTGAGTATGAATGGAACACAGCATTAAACTATTTCCACAAGATGAGGGTCATTATCTATACTGTACATGTTAATGTTTAAGACACGTGGAAGTCTTGAAAGCGGAAAAAGTAGCTTTATTTTAGTATTTAGGACACTTGAAGGGCCTAAAAGTTGGAAAAAACCTTTTTTTTCATTGTTTAAAACACTTGGAAAGGAGGGAGAGAAGAAAACTGTCTTAATTAAGTTCTTAAAGAAACTTGGAATAAAGAAAAAATAATTAATTGAGTTGTTGCACACACTTGGAAAGAAGAAGAAAAAAACAATTATTATTAAAGACACTTGGAAGGAAGGAAGGAAGGAAGGAAGGAAGGAAGGAAGGAAAGAAGGATGGAAGGAAGGATGGAAAGACGGAAAATATCCCTTACGACTTTTAGTCAGTGAATAAAAGCACTTTTTGTTTGTTGCTTCTTGTTGGATAAAGACTTGTGACTCATAAACACATTAACTACATTTCAAACTCTAGTTTCAAACTGTCTACAACAGGTAAGATATTAACAGTTCACAATCTTTTGACCAAGCGCCACTTTTAAAGGTGTGAATATCCCCTTTAAGATGATGCCGATCAACTGGAAAATAGACTTTATTTTTATTTTTACAAACTTGGTGGACTTTCTAAGGAGAAAAGAATTTTGTGTCATTTGGCCACTGAAACTGAAAATGTTCACAGCACTTTTGACTCCCTTCAGCTGGAAAACAGGTTTGATTTAAACCAAATGGATCCGTTTTACATCAATAATTGTTTTTGTGTTTTTTATGTAAAATGTAAAATATACACAGTAGGTGCTGTTTGTTGAATTGTGCCTTAAAGGGACCTGTATGCCTACATTATAACAGCTTTTTAATAGTTTGTTTTGTACAGTCTCCTCGTCTTGGCTTCATTTTATATTTTATTTTTTTACATTTTTTGCAGAGTCCTCAGAGACACAGGGTTGAAAATGAGTTACTGTGAATTTGTCACATTCCAAATCTGGGAATGTGAGGGTTTTTGCTCCAGACCAAAACCACTTCTGAGTGTATTTTGTGTGTGTGTGTTTTCCGCTTTACCAAAACTATCCTTAGGGCTTTTTAAATGGGTTGATACTTAAAAGAGAAGTCGATCATGGGATTTAAAGGTCAAATCGTAAATCAGAACGAGTGGTGTATTTTAGTACACTTACTGCTTTTAAAACTCTTTGCTTATGATTTTGTTACAAGATGTTGTAAACGGGAGAGATTGTTTTTTTTTCCCCCTTATCTGTCCTAAAATGCTGGTTTAAACATCTGTTAACCCTGTGGCTGAATAAGAATTACAGTTAAAAACATTAAAGTTATTATTGGAATTTAATTAGTAACTCAGGCTTTTCCATCCCATTTCTTCGGAGCAAGTCAACCATTTTACTGACAATTTCTAAAGCGTTATGAGGACGGAAAATATATAGACTGTCGCCTCTGATCATTTTGTGTTGACAAATGACAAAGTTGCAGCTCTGTTAGTCAAACCTCAAAAGTAGTCATGTAAATTTTCCCCAGATTACTGTGTTTGGGATGACGCTCAGCTACTACCAAACTAAATCTTGGCTCAGAATCTGTAAAACCAACAGAACGTTTTTATGCTAACATGGATTAGTTGCGGCAGACATCTTGAATCTAACTAAACCCCAAAACAAATCAACTGTAGATGTAATTAATTTTTATTAAAGTTTAATTAAAATTTAGCCAGTAGTTCGTAAGATATTTTGCTAACAGACCAGCAAGACTGACAATTTATTACATTTTGAGTAAAGATGTTCAACGAGCAGAGCTTGGATTATCCATAAGAAACGAGACTCAGCTACATCATTTTTTCTTTTTTGCATTAAATCTAAAATCAACTGAATTGGAGCCGATTTGCTTTATTTACAAGGCGAGCTGGTTGTTTCGGCCATCTTGAATTAGGGGCGGCTCCAAAAGTTAATCAGTTGTAGAGGTATATTTCCTAAAAGTTTCAGTAAGATCCATCCTGTGGTTCATGTGATATTTTGACAACAGACACAAAGACATTATCGCCTGCTGATGAACATCTTTACACTGGAAGACTCTGTCTTATGTTCTGTTTCAAATAAATTTTACAGCTAAATGACAACATGATGATCTCTGATGACAGAAGTTTTGTCTGCACATCTGTGAGCACAGAATATAAAAAAAGGCAACATTTCAGATGTAAGACATAAAAAGAAACCAAAAACACGTCTCAAATTAAAACTTTAAGCATTTTATTCCAAGTAATGTACAGAAAATGCTTAAAATAGTTTGCACATCTGTAAAACATACAGACAAAAAGCTCAAAGGGAGCAACATGTTGGCAAATAAATACCAAAAAGTAGATTTATTACTTGGGTTATTTACAGTAAGATATTCATATTAAATGTTTATGACTAAAATATTTTTAAATATGTGCATATGTTCCCTCCCGGATGCTACACGGAGATAGTCCTGAACACGTTGAACCCTGACAGGGCCGTGGAGATCATGGCGCCTGGTATCTGCGGGTGCCAGTGGATTTCTTTGATCTCCGACTGACCCTGGTGCAGGAACAGCAGCTGAGGGGGCAGGTCCTTCACCCCCTCCACCCTGGCGCCTACGTCGGACGACTCCACGGACAGATCCCACTGGCTGACCACGTCGTCGGCTCCGGCTGCAGCAAACACGCTGGAGTCCAAGGGGCTCCACTCCACGGACGTGATGGGACCTCCGTGCTGCTTGAAGTTTGCCACCGGACGTCCGGCCTGCAGGGAGGCACCAAGAACCGATTCATGCTGTGTGAATGCTGATGATCCCATTTCTCTTGTACAATAAATAAAATAAGCTAATTTAAAACAGCTTTCTGCAACAGGTAAGATGTTAATTGTTTAAAACCCATGATCTTATTTAATATTTGGATAAAAACACGAAAGCTAAACTAGCTTGAATACATATCCTCTGCTGCATGCCCAAGTTTTAAACAAAGAAAACATGATTAGTTAGAGCATTGCATAGGGAGGACTCTCAGCTACTACCACACCTAATTAGAGTTTAACATCTGTACAGCTGATTGAGTTATCATTTTTGTGTTTGCTAATAAGTTCAATCAGGTCAGCTCCAAAAATTAATCAGCTGTAGATGTTGGTTTGTGAGATATTTTTCTAACAAACAAACTCTTGACTTTTATGGCAGTAGGTGCTAAAAAAACATCCTGAACTTATATTTTAAAGGGCAGTAACAGCCACAGTAATTACTGTTGTGCTTATGTAAAACCAGCAGAAGATGAAACAAATGTTTGTGGTTTGTGTGTAAACTCCTAAACACAGGTTTCCACTATGATGAAGGGGTTATTTTACCGTGATAACACGTTGATAAAAAAAAAAAAAACAACTAAAAATGTCAGAGTGCTTGTTTCAACATGAGTCCACCGGTGATCACTGCTTCTTACCCTGAACTGTCGCAGGTCCCACACCTTCAGAAGCCCGTCATCGCCCCCGGACAGCAGGAACGGTTCGCTCCGGTTCCAACTGATCACGTTGACGTCTGAAGAGTGCGCCTCATCGACGGAGAGCATGGAGTTGGGCGGGGCGCGGACGTCCCAGACGCGTATAGACTGATCCACGGAGCATGACGCAAAAACCTGGTAAAAAAACATAAAATAATTCAATTCAAATTCAAAAATACTTTATTGATCCCAGAGGAAAATTAGGTAAAATAAAGGTGGACATTTAAAATTTTCAAATTAAGGCCCAACATTCCTTGAAAGACATTTTGACTAAGATCATCAAATCTGTGTTGATAAGTGAGAAAACGAGCTGATAATGCAAAAATCAGGCTCACGGTTTGTGTTTGGGAGGACTCTCTTCTAGTATCACGTGGAATTTTAGCTCAACCTCTACAAAAGACTGAGTTATAGATCTTTTTGTGTTGCTTAATGTAGGTTAGTTGTGGCGGTCATCTTAATTTGTTGAAGAAAATTAGTTGTAAAGCATGCCAAACTCAAGGTCCACGGGCCAAATGTGGCACACCACATAATTTTACGTGGCCTGTGAGAGCTTCAAAAATGTGGTAGTGTCTTCAAATAACTGCATTGGCCATAAACTACATCTCCCATAATGCATGTTGATTATTTCACCTGCAAAATGATGGCATCTCAGAGGTGCATAGTTCAAAATATCTGGCAGCTGGCGACATTCACCATGTGAAATCTTCAGGGCCCCTACTTTTGAGGTAGCCCAGTTGTACTGGGAAGTGGGAATTTCCCATTTACAAGTCGTAGATAAACTGGAACGCTGCTCCAGTTGGAATTCTCTGAGAGCAACTCCCAACTAAATGGTGGCTACTCACCACAACTCAAATGAGTAAAACTCATACTTTTACTTTTAATAGTTTTCTGTTTTATTTATTTCACAGTCAGTCAGTTGCACACGTAGTACTTTTCAGCATTTATAAGAGGATGTACTAAAACTCTTGTTTCTATGTATGAAATACCACGTAGAGCTCAGTTTTTTAGCGGTGCTCAGTCGTAGCAATGTTATTATTTTTATAAATTTTTATTAAAATCCATCATGTACTTCATAAGAAATTTTGCAACAAGTAGCACTTTGAGTATGTGTTGTGAATGACTCTCAGCTACTACCACACCAAATTTAATTTAATATCTTTAAGAGTGANATGTGTTGTGAATGACTCTCAGCTACTACCACACCAAATTTAATTTAATATCTTTAAGAGTGATTAATTACCATTTATGTGTATTTAGGATTTACTCCAAAAGTGAATCTGTTGTAAATGTACATAAAATTATTATTTACAAAAACCAGCCAGTGGTTCAGGTGATATTTGGTAAGAGACACAAATTTAATTGTAGCTCCGCCTTTGAGCAATAACGAAACTTTAATTTGTGCCAGAATCTTTTGGAACGTGCTCCAGCAGGAAGTGTGCAGTCGGAGTCACCATAAATCATGCTCATTGGTCTGAAGTGTCTGAGGTAAAGCACCGATTGTACTTTTATTGAAACAAAAAGTTCAGTCGTGTCAGCCTGCAGAACAAACATACCACAAACGAGTTCTGCCACTTTCTCAGTCCGAGGATTTTGTTGCTGTGAAATGAAGGCGCATTTTTAACAGGTGTTCCTTGAAATGTCAACATGGTTTCATTCATTCCAATCAACCAGTTCATTCAGCACACCCTGATTTTTTTTAATGTTTCTGTTTATGTAACACCTGTAGAGCTCAGGTGAGTCAATGAGTTCAGTGGGATGGAGCACGATGAGAAATTCAGCGAGGTCCATAGAGACAGTTCGAGGTAAAGCCTACAGATAACGTGGGTGGTGTAAATAAACGTTCAGATTGGTAGCCCAACTAACACACAGAAAACTGATAGTTTTCAGTTAAATGCTTATTTTCAGACTTAAAGACTCCATTTCGCTTCGAGCCTCTCTGTGCAGGGGTGATAGCGGAAAAAAATCTTGAGCCTGAACCTTTAAACCTGCGCCACCACCACCTCCACCCACCCACACACACACACACACACACACACACACTTGTTTGCTCATGTGTTGATAATACAAAATATTACTACAGAAAACTATTTAAAAGGCAGACGTCACTCTATCCAGCACATCAAGAAAAATGCAGTTTAAAGTAATTTTGTTCTGAGCAGAGGATAACCTGTGATATATTAATTTAAATATTATTTTGAATTTAACAACAACTGGAAAATCACAGTTCCAGTGTCAACCTTTAAGGCCCTGTCACACTAGACAACTTATGTACATTGTTGAAGCTGGAATTGAAAAAAAAAAATCAACAGGAGGCTTCTTTTCTGTGTAAATAATGTTACAAACTGATCAAATATATAACTTTTATTAGAAATTTAGACATAAAAAGGTTTCATAAATTGTCTAGTGTTACAGGGCCTTTATCACCAAGCATTAACATGCACATTATGAAAGATTTTATGTTTAAAAAGGGCAATTAAAATACTTAATCATTTAAAACCTCAAGATTGATATTTATACAGACAAACTGGTCAACAAAACAAACAGAATCTACGTGAAAACTGTAATTTATATTTCATATTTAATTATTAAATACATTAAACTTTTCATAAAGTCTGGTTCCAAATATAAACAATTTTGCTCATTAATCCTTTTTTAATAAAATATAACAAAAAACTATTAGGCTGCTGAATGGAGGAAAAACATGAAAAGAATAAAATGTTTTTTATAAAACTATTATCATTATTTTATTATGATTATAACTTATTTACATTTAGAATTTATGATTTTTCTCAGATTCTTTACTTTTCTTTCCTGCTGCCTATGGCTAAAATAACAGATTATTATTTCTATTAACTCTGAGAGGAAAGTGGGTCTACCTGGACCAGGTGTTGTTTGTGTCTGCAACATAAACATCCTTCTCTATTCTCCAGAGCTCAGAACTGATGCTTGGTTTGGTCGACCCAATAAGCACCAGAACCAGAACCCCTACTGAGAGCTGCTCGCGTCTCTCTCTCTCTCTTTTTTTTTCCTCCCCTCCTTTGTTTTGTAGATCCTTTGCTGCTAATAACAACTAACAAATAACTGCTAACAAATAACTTTGGTCAAATAAAAGATCGGAGGGTTTTTATTTTTTTGGCTCTAGAGAAAGATGAAGCTGACGGTGGATTGAGGCTTTTATTTCCACGGGACGTGTTTCGTGCTCACGACGTGACACGCATCAAACAAGAACATCTTTTTTATTAAAATAAAGTGTGGGGTACAATTTTTACCATAACTTTGGTTCTACTTGGCCTAACAATGCAATTTAAAAACTGGTTTAAAGTGTGAAGTCTCTACTTTTAGCTCAGAGTCTCAGAGAAGGATCTGACAGGTTAGAGCCGTCTAAATTGACAATGTGATACCTCAGCACATGTTATCAATTAATCGATTGGAACATTTTTTAATCTAATAAAACATTACTCAACACATCTCTATTTAATACTGATAAAGTTCAACTAAAGAAACATAAACAGTCAATTATAACCAAGACAGGCTGTGCACTCCCACACAGCGGTGGACAATCAACTTTTAGCACAACACCTGCCTCAGTTACTCTCAGTAAACACGCACCTGTTGGTCAGATGTTGTTTCCCGGGTCACTGTGATTAAATCCCTGCCTCTCTTCTCCGGCTCCACCTGCCTGCTACTGTTCAGCTAACGTTAGCATCCATCTGCGAGGCTCATCTCTCTCCACATCTTTCTGCTGGTTTTTCTTCTCTGACAGCTGGTTTTTAAAAATCTGACAGTTTCAATGTTGTTTCCAGTTCTTTTTCAAACTTGTTCTAACAAAGAAATTTGTTTTAATTCGAGCACCCCTACTTCTCCTAGATCTGAACCAAAGTTCTGCCGATATCCAAGTCCTGCCCCCATCTGATTTCTGATTGACTAGTAGACCTGTCTAGTGTGTTTAAAGTGAAAGCTGGTCCTCTGATAGGTCCAGAGAAATGTCTGTTGAACAGTTGGTAAGTCTGATTTTTTTCTTTTTCTCCCCGTGGAGGTAAGCTGGAAATCCGGCACGGTGCTGGTATACTATCAGCCCTGCTCTCTGTGGCTTCAGAGTCTAAATAAAAATAGCCACGAATTAAGTGTTTAAACCATCTTTATAGAAACATTTATTCTTACACTGCTGGAGTGAGGCACATATTAAATACAGACTTGCTGATTCTCTTACTGTTTAAAATAAAAGACTACAACCAATCACAAAGCATAAAGATATAAGGCTGTATCTAAAATTCAGTTAATTGGTCACAAAATATCCTTCAGTAGAATCGAACGTGCATTTAAGCCAGGGCTATTCAACTGGCAGCAATTATCCAGCCCCTCAGTAGCACTCCGACTGGCCCAGTGATGAATTAATTTAAAAGAAAAATGAGATTTTTAATCAGGAAAAAATGTTATCTTCAGATAAAACTAGATTTTAGATTGTAAATTTACGTAACAACTCTGCTGGATGTGCCGAGCTGTTGGCGTTTAGTAACTGTGGCCCCCAGTGAAATGTTAACAACCCTGCTTTAGGTTTTCATTCAGCTCTAACAGTATCACTGTTGTGGTACATACCGTAGCTTCAGTGGGTGACCACTGCAGATCCTCCACAGACTTGCTGTGGGAGCTGAAGGGCCGCTGGTCTATCTTCCAGGAGGCGCCGTCCTCTCGTGGCTCCCACACGTGGATGTTCTTTTTGCAGTCTCCACTGACAAGACGACCTGTTGTGGGGGAAAAAAAAAAAAAAAATTTATTGATTTCGTTTATTTTGTCTGTATCTCTTTACTTTGTCTTACTTTGTTCTGGACGGCAATGGACTGGCTGCAATTGCCTGAGTTTGTGTGTTAGTAAAATATCCCATGAACCACTGCACAGATTTTATTGAAACTCACAGAAAGTAATCATCGGATGCAAATCCATTCACTGTTAAAGTCAACCTGATTCAAGATGGCTGCTGTAGCTAGTTGAACAAGAATAGCTACAACTCAGTCAACTGTTCTAAAATACTGAGCTAAAATCTGGTGTGGTAGTAGCTGAAAGTCATACCCAACAAATGCTCTAGGTGCTAACAGCAAGTGAGTTTTTGTTGGTTCTAAGCTATATGTTAGCTGTAATCAGGGTTTCCCCTAGGATTATTTTAACCGTGGTGGTGGCGGCCTCTCCTGTATACAAAGTTTACTAAATGTTCTCAGTCAGCAGGTTTCAGGAGCTGCTTGAGTAAAACATTCTTCTCATCCTCTTCTTTGAAATAGAGAGCAAAAATCAACATCCACAAGCTTTCTGCTTACAGGTCAAACATTTTCATTTAAACAGGAGTATTCTGTGCACATGACCTTATTAAAAGTTACAGTTTAGTTTTCTTAGGACTGAAGACTTTCTGAGGAGGGAGGTTTTTAAACATCTCTTCTATCATTTTAGTGTTTTCAAC